CCCGGAGCCACACGCAGAGGGCAGGTACCCCACCCCAGAGCGGCGCTGCGTGCTGGGGACGGGGCCTCCGGGGCTGCTGCTGGGTGCGTGGGGGCTCCAGGCCCTGCTCCCAGCCCCTGCCTGGCCGGTGCGTGCCAGGAGGTCTGGCTGCCCCCCTCTCCCTTTTTGCGCGGGCTCGGGGTTTGCTCGTGCCCGTGCCAGCGCTGGCAGCAGCCCCCGCGAGTGCCAGCCCCCCCTGGGTGTTGCTGCTGTTGTCTCCTCCTGCCTGTGAGGTGTTGCTTTGTCTTATTTCCCCCCTGTACGCAAATCACAGAAAAGCTGCTTTCTCACTGAGCTTCCCCATTCTCCCCCTCTCTCCAGAGTCTTGGCAGCTGGGGAAGGAGCGCCGCCCGAGGATGGAGAGCAAGCCGGCAGTCAACGGCCATGCCGCCCCCCTCTCCCACCAGGAAGACGCCTCGGGGGCAAAGCCCTTGCGCCAGGACGTTCTGCCTTGCAAACAGAAAAACGCCGCTGATGGCGATGTGGCGGCGATGGATGGTTCCAAAGCACCCTTGGGGGCTGCCAGCAGCATCGCGGGGGTGTATGTGGAGGCCTCCAAGAAGATAATGAGCTTTTATGATGCCACCAGGGAGCATCTCCTAAGCCTGGATTCGGCACTCGGTCTTCTCGAGGCCCAGGCGGCTACAGGCTTCCTCACCGACCCAGCGAGGAGCTGGCATGGCTCTGTGGCGGAAGCCGTGCGGCTGGGGCTGGTGGGGCTGGAGCTGAAGGAGAGGCTGCTTGCTGCAGAGAGAGCTTCCACTGGCTTTGTGGACCCCTACTCGGAAGAGAAAATCTCCCTCTACCAGGCCATGCAGAAGGACCTGGTTGGGAGGGAGCAAGGCATGCGGCTGCTGGAGGCCCAGATGGCAACCGGAGGCGTTGTTGACCCAGCTACGGGCTGCCGGCTCCCCGCAGACGTGGCCTGTGAGAGGGGGCATTTAGATGAAGAGCTGAGACAGCTCCTCTCTGACCCCAGCAATGAGGACAGCAAAGGGTTCCTCAACCCCAATACCATGGAGAGGGCCACGTACGTGGAGCTCATCAGGCGGTGTGTCGTTGATCCGGCCTCAGGCTTCCTCCTCCTGCCCCTGCAAATCACGTTCCCGGGGCTGGGCGGGAGGGTGAGCAGCAGGGACCTGCTGGACGCTGGCATCATTGGCCATGACGTGTTCAGAGCTCTTGAGGAGGGAAGGGTTTCTGCCCAGGAGGTAGCAGAGAGCGACTCCGTTCAGCAGTTCCTGGACAGGACGAGGAGCGTGGCTGGTGTTGTCCTGCCTTCCGGCGAGCGGAAAAGCCTCTACCAGGCACTGAGAGAGCATCTCCTTGTGCCTGGTGCTGCTCTGATGCTCTTGCAAGTCCAGGCCTCCACCAGCAGCCTGACAGACCCCATAAAGAACAAAAGCTACTCAGTTGATGAGGCTGTCAGGGTTGGTCTTGTCGGCCCGGAGCTTCATGAGAAACTGTCTTCAGCTGAGAGGAGCATCACCGGGTACAGGGACCCCTCCACTGGGGAAGTCCTCTCTCTGTTCCAAGCCATCAGGAAGGGCTTTATCCCCAAGGACCACGGCATTTGCCTTCTGGAGGCTCAGATGGCCACAGGGGGTATAATTGCTCCAGGCAGGCACCTCCGTGTCCCCACAGAGACAGCTTGCAAGTGGGGGTACCTGGATGAGGCCACGTGGCAGCTCCTCTCCAGCCCTACCGATGACATGAAAGGGTTCTTCGACCCTAGCTCCAAGGAGAAGCTGACCTACGCAGACCTGCTCAAGCACTGTGTCACCGATCCCCATACAGGACTCTTGCTGCTGCCGCTCGGTGAAGGGTGGGAAGGATCCGAGGGAACCACCCTCTTCTTTGACCATAGGACCCAAACAGCTCTGGAAAACACACGGGTGCCCATTGCTTTGGGTAAATTCAAGGGAAAGTCGGTGTCCCTCTGGAAACTCCTCTTCTCAGATGGCATCCCGAGCAAGCAAAGAGCTGCTCTCGCCCAGCAGTACCTTGTGGGAATGCTTTCCATCCAAGAGCTGGGTAAGGCAGTCAGTGCCACCCTTGAGGAGATGGCTTCCACGGCTAATGTCACCTTCGAAGGACTGAGGGACCGGGTGACGGCTGACCAGCTCCTGAGCTCTGAGATCATTAACCAAGAGTTGTTTAAAAAACTGAAGGAGGGAGAAACATCGGCCAAAGACGTTGTCAGCATGGACACTGTCAAGAAGTACTTGCAAGGGACGGGTAGCATTGGTGGGCTCCTGCTTCCTGACTCCCAGGAGAAGGTCAGCATCTACCAGGCAAAGCGGAAAGGACTTTTGCGGCCTGGAACGTCACTGATCCTCCTGGAGGCACAGGCTGCTACTGGATTTATCATTGACCCAGCTGCCAACAAAAGGTATTCTGTGGATGAGGCGTTACGAGCAAACATCATTGGCCCAGATGTCTACGACAAGCTACTGACTGCAGAGAAATCGGTCACTGGCTACAGAGATCCTTACTCAGGGAACAAGATCTCCCTCTTCCAGGCCATGAAGAAGGAGCTCATCGTCAAGGAGCATGCTATCCGCCTGCTGGAGGCCCAGATCGCCACCGGCGGCATCATCGACCCCGTCAACAGCCACCGCATCCCCGTGGAGGTGGCCTACAAGCGGGGCTACTTTGACAAGAAGATGAACTTAATCCTTTCTGATCCCAGCGACGACACCAAGGGCTTCTTCGACCCCAACACCCACGAGAACCTCACCTACCTGCAGCTGAAGGAGAAGTGCATCACAGAGCCGTCCACTGGCCTCTGCCTCCTTCCTCTGAACAGCAGGAAGCGCCCGTTCATCGAAGAG